AGTGTGTTTGTCTCGGATGAGCAGTGTTTTCTCCAGTATGCCACCACCTTTTGGAACAGCACAAGCTTTCCTATTGAGACTAGCCCAACTTGAAGCTCAGCTAGTTTTGAACCTGATTAGTAACGTTGCATCTGGAAATAATAGTGGTTATGGGAACCCTTTTGTTCCTTTAAATTTCTTACAGCCTGTTGGCATTCAAAGATCCTCATTTTTGAGCATGTACCAGTGCCCAGGGGGTTTTAAAAACATGGATTCCACACCTCACATGGTTAGTCATCCTTCAACAACAGTCACAGAAATTAATTCAGTCATTGCCAATAAGGAGAGTGGTGCACTTCTGGCAAAAGAGATTATTCAGGAGAAAACACTAGGTCCCATCATGAATAATACAACATTGCCACTGCCAACATCTGAGGAAGCTCTTTTTAGATCCAGTCCCAACCATCTAGGCAAACATTTCGCCTTAAAACCACATATGGACTGTTCTCAATACCAGTCAGTGACAGCCAAAGCAATGATGCCTCCTGATAAACCACAGATTGGAGAAGCAGAGCCAAAGCAACAAACAATGCTGCAGTATCCAACAGAAAGTCTGATCAAAGCTTTAACCAGCCTTGGCCTTTCTCTTGAGGATCTAGAATTACTCAGTCATTGCCCAGAAAACCAGTTAACAACAGAGAATCTCCCCTTCATTATAAAAGACATTCAACAGCGCAAAGGAACAAAGGACATTAAATATGGCCATGCTAGATGTATCTCATCTGATCAAGTGGGAGAGTCATCATACACTCATGGGGAACAGAGGAATCCGAGGATTATAAATGGTGAATGGCAAGAATCCCATTCCCAGAGATCTCTCAGCCCTGAAAGATGTCGCTCATCTAAAGTCATTTATAAGCACTTCTCGACCCAATCTAGAACACTAAGAACAAGACATTCATCAGGTGAGTTATTATTACATATAAAACCGATGCATCAATAACAATGCAGCTTACATCATCTAAAATGTTAATCTATCTATCTATCTATCTATCTATCTATCTATCTATCTATCTATCTATCTGTCTATCTGTCTATCTGTCTGTCTTCCAAACCACTTGTCTTAATAGGGTTGTGGGGTGTTTGTTTATTTTTTTTAATAAATAAAATAATATTTGTTTTTGGACTAGAAATGTGCAGCTGTAACATTTGAAATCCCTGTTTCCCTTCCTTCCAGGAAGAGGATCAAATTCCTTCCTAAAGAGGCTGCAACATGAGCCTGCTGAGGTCACCGGCTGGAGGCCTGGTTCAGTCTATTTTCCCCCTCGATCAAAACGCAGCATAAGCCACAGCTTTGTCTCTCTAGACTGTAATAAAGCAATACATTATACTACACAAAGACCCTTGTCCTCTCCACACAGATCCAACACTTACAATGCCATGACAAAAAGTCATCAACAGTCTTCATTTCCAGTCAAATCTGCAAAATCAGAAGTAACCGCTGAATCCATCAACATTCAGATGCCAGTAACTAAGACGACTGCAAAAACATTAGCACAAACTGTAAGTTTTGGGAGGTGTAGGCCTACTAGAAATACTGATGGTTATTGATGTCATTATGGTGATAACAGAACTTAAAGGTGGGGTAAGCGATTTTTCAAAATCGCTTTAGAAAACTGATTCGGGCCGACTAGCAAAACAAACTTGTAGCAAATCAGCAATAAGGTGCATGTCTACTCATGATGTGGAGGAGAGAGCGTTCAGTGCACAGGACGGACATTAGCCTAGCCGAGCCACAGAAAGATAGAGATGGCGGATAAAAAACAAAAGAGGAAAACGTCTGCGGAACAAAAGAAGGCTTAAGGCAATAAGGCAAGAAGTAGAACCCCTGTAAATATCGGATCAGCTTTCCAGCGCCGGAGAGAACTCAAGGAGCGGAAGGCCTGTGATCGGACGCCGAGGTTGCTTTATTTCTTCTCGATAGGTGAGTAACACCGTGTCTGCGCCGCAACAACTAAAGTCTGTCTAGTATACTGGACGCGACAAAGCGACCGCTGAAAATCATTTGAAATTTGTGTCAATACGTCATGAATAGAACGCAGCAGCAGCAGCAGCAGCAGCAGGGGATTTGTCCCGGTGTAGACACGGTGTAACATTGGTTTTGCTTTGTTTCACAGAACTAATTGTTGCCTGGGTTGCGTACGTATGTGTGGGGCAGAGCTATCAAAATAGGGGCGATACCCTTTTGGGGTAGGGGCGTGTTTGTTTTGGTGATTTCAAATGTCAGCATTGGCTACCAGAAATCGCTTACCCCACCTTTAATGCCCTCAAAGCAAAACTCTTATTAAAGGTGTTTTATAAAGGTTTCTATTTTCTAGTGTGAAATGTGATCGCTCCCACCATAATGATTGAAATGCCACCATTAAACCATTAAAGTATCACTTTAGTCTCAACATTACTGGCTGAAAATAACAGGCATCTCGAATAGTTCGCACCGACAGTCCCATCATAACAAATGAACAAATGTGAAACAGTGACCTCTGGTGGCCTGAGAGTTGCAATGTTTAGGTTAGAAAACATTACGTACGAACTCCACTCTTTCCAGTTCAGTGTTTTTCTTATTGTTCCCTTGTTTTCCAACAGAAGGGTGTGATTCGTGTGTCTGGAATCCCTCTTGATTACTCTCAGAGTGAACTCATCAAAATGGCATCTCCGTTTGGTCACTCTGTTGAGGTTTTAATGGCGACTGAGGTTTACACAACAACCTGTCTAGAATGGAAGAAGGTATGTGTCGTTTTAGGATGTGTATGTAACACTTGTTTATTTTAAAACAATAATGACCTTTTTTCTAAAGTAATTTCCTGTAAAATACAGCACTTATATATCAGCTTGTGTGTGTGTGTGTGTGTTTTCCAGGCTTTACTGAAGTTTCCAACTGAATTCTCAGCCGAGGAGATGGTGAAGGTTTACTCTGCTATCCCAGTTCACATGAGACAGCAAAGTTTGGAGCTGGTGTCCCAAACTGTTGACTTTAGTTCACCTGTGAGTTGACACACTAATGGATAAATGGAAACAATTTTATAATTAATATTTTCTTGCATAAATACTTTTTTCAATACTACATTTGTTTATTTACTTTACTGAGTTTAATGCATACTTTTACTTCAGGTGTCAGTGTTTCATGCTTTTGCGGGGCCATCATTGTCAAATGCAAGTATCACTTGTTCTGGAGCCATTTAAAATATTCAAATTAAAACATAATAATAATAATAATAAAAAAAAAATTTTAATCTATTCTTGAACAAGTCCCACTGTCTTTTAGGGGCTGCTAACAGCTTTGGACCATTTGCTGGTTGTATGTAATGTTCCCAATCAGCCCAGTGCTGCTACAGGAGTGCTACGGCTGCTAAAGCCTTTTGGACAAGTTTTCAGAGCTCTGGTACTTCATGGAAACAAGGTAGAACTATATAAATGTTTAACAGCATATATATAATAAGAAAAACTAAAATACATTTGGTTGTTTGAAAAATATGTGAAAACATTTGAGAGTTTGACTTTATTTCAGTCGTCTATGTTTTCTCAGCTTTTACCTATATTTGACTATTTGAGTCTAACCTATCAGTGAATTGATATATTTTTGTTTGTCTTCATAACTAGGTGGATGTTGATCAGTGCCTTGGGAACAATAGCAGCATCCAGATGGTTTTAGAGATGGAATCCGCTTCTGTTGCTTTATCTGTATATGAGTGGTCTCAAAAAATTCCTTGTCTTTATCACAACCATCATCTGTCTTTCCTCAGAGGATGTAATATACAGAAAAATACATCTGAGGTCCATTCAGCCTAATATCCTCACTGTTTTTTTAGTCCCCTTAAATATTGTATATTTTCATTATCTTTGTAATAAAATAAAATGAAACAAGGTCATAAGAAGCATTATTATTTGTCTTTCTCCTTTTATAAAATTATATATTTATTGAGCAGCAGAAGTTAACACTTAAAAATAGTAATCTCAAAAATATAAACTACAATCACTACAATACACATGGTAATGGAAATCCTGAAAATATCAGGTAATTTAAAAAATCTGGGATATTTAGTTAAAAATCCAGTAATAACAATCAACTTGAAAAGTCATGGAAAGGTCATTTGGAATGCATGGGTCAAAATTTATTAAATATCAGCTCAACAGATGTTCTCAAAATTATATATTATACATTAAATTATATAACATGGTTGTGATTTTAATTGTTAGATACTGCTAAAAAGGTCAAGATCACTGAGGTGACAAACTCAAATCACAGTTTTAAAGAGTTAAATCACCCCAAAAAAAAAAGTACTCACCTTCACATTTTCTTTTTCAAATCAAATCACATTTTTATTTAATAATTTCCAATAAATTAGAATTTATGCTTTTTCCCATACAATAAAAGCATTAGTAACTAGGGGCCATCAAGCCGAAAAAGGATAAAAGAGCACCATTAGGTCTTATGTCATTCATGAATCAAGTTTAAAAAATGTCCCTGTACAGTATATATGCAAGAAAGATTTGAGAGTTGTGCCAGAGGGAAGATTTTCACACCACAATGCACTTCACTTGGCCTTAAAGGGACAGTTCACACAAAAAATGAAGAACTCTTTCATCATTTGTGACCCTGGACCACAAAACCAGTCATAAGTAGCACGGGTATATTTGTAGCAATAGCCAACAATACATTGTATGGGTCAAAATTATAGATGTTTCTTTTATGCCAAAAACCATTAGGTTTTACCAGAATAGCACGTAATGTTCCATGAAGATATTTTGTAAATTTCCTACCATAAATATATCAAAACTTCATTTTTGATTAGTAATATGCATATGCAAGAACTTCCTTTGGACAACTTTACAGGCGATTTTCTCAATATTTTGATTAGATTTTTTTCCTGCACCCTCAGATTCCAGATTTTCAAATAGTTGTATCTCAGCCAAATATTGTCCTACCCTAACAAATCATACATCAATGGAAAGCTTATTTATTCAGCTTTCAGATGATGTATAAATCTAAATTTAAAAAACTGACCCTTATGACTGGTTTTTGGGTCACATTTACTCATCTTAGTTGTTCCAAACCTATACGAGTTTCTTTCTTTTTTTGTTGTTGTTGTTGAAAACAAAAGAAAATATTTGTTTGGCTGATTATTTTCTATTAAACATAAAGAACAGCGCAAGTAACCCAACATTAAAGGTGGGGTAAGCGATTTCTGGTAGCCAATGTTGACATTTGAAAACAAACACGCCCCTACCCCAAAAGGGTCTCGCCCCTATTTTGATAGCTCCGCCCCACACATACATACGCAACCCAGGCAACGATTAGTTCTGTGAAACAAAGCAAAACCAATGTTACACCGTGTCTACACCGGACACGAGTGGCGCAGCGCGACAAACTACTATAGAACTCATTATAATCAGTGATGCTGTCTACACCATAGATATATATACATATCTATGGTCTACACTGGATGCGGCGCGGCACGACACGACAAATCCCTGACAGAAAACTGCTGCTGCGTTCTATTCATGACGTATTGACACAATTTTCAAATGATTTTCAGCGGTCGCTTTGTTCGCGTCCAGTATACTAGACAGACTTTAGTTGTTGCGGCGCAGACACGGTGTTACTCACCTATCGAGAAGAAATAAAGCAACCTCGGCATCCGATCACAGGCCTTCCGCTCCTTGAGTTCTCTCCAGCGCTGGAAAGCTGTTCCGATATTTACAGGGGTTCTACTTCTTGCCTTATTGCCTTAAGCCTTCTTTTGTTCTGCAGACGGTTTCCTCTTTTGTTTTTTATCCGCCATCTCTATCTTTCTGTGGCTCGGCTAGGCTAATGTCCGTCCTGTGCACTGAACGCTCTCTCCTCCACATCATGAGTAGACACGCCCCTTACTGCTGATTTGCTACAAGTTTGTTTTGCTAGTCGGCCGAATCAGTTTTCTAAAGCGTTTTTGAAAAATCTCTTACCCCACCTTTAAAAGTTATCATTCCCTGGCCAGGAATCGAACCCGGGCCAAGGCGGTGAGAGCACTGAATCCTAACCACCTGACCACCAGGTAGCGCTGTGCTCGCAATGATGAATATAGTAGTAGTCAAATCACGAATTCAAATTTCAAATTTCATCAATGTTGCTAACGTAATTATGCAACCTGTGACATAGCATTTTGCTGTTTATCAAGTAGTCATACTTTATTGTTTCACATATTGTAATTAGCAGTCAATATATAGTAGATCTACAGCTTGTGTGGTATTCAGCAGTGAGTTACGTTTATTTATAACATCTGGGTCATTGTTCTTTACCTTAAAATGCTGTAAATTAGTGTCTTTGTACTAATTTGTGTTTTTTAAAATCACTTAGGTTATTCTATATATTAAACATTTGAAGGTATTATGTCAGATCCAAATCTGGTTTAATGACACTATTTCATAAGAGGTTCCCAGCAAACACAGAACGTTCCCATAACGCAATATTTTTTGGGGGGGATCAAAATTTTACGTTCTGGGAACCAAATTAGCTGGGTTACACCTCATGATGCTTTATCCAAACGATGTCAGCGCATCTGTCCAAATAAAACAACCATGTTCTTACATTTGATTTTTTTTTTTTTGTCAGTGCTTGTGCATTGAGGCTCTAATGTTCCTATC